AATGGCAACTTGTCACTCTCTTAAACTTGTCAATGGCAGTTTGATCGGAGATCCGCTTGACCTGAAGATGTTTGAATTTATTCATTGGATATTGGAAGAGACCGGACAAGGAAGCTCGTATCCAACAGGCTCAACGAGTTCTTCGCTATCTCAAATAGCTAGCAACATAGTTCCAACAGTTGTTAGGTCTCCAGGCAGCAGAATGTCTGATTTATCTGATTTATTGGCTACTGATGGACTGAATGGAAAAGTAAGACTTATCGTGTATTCTTCACGTTCAGAGTTTTGCAGCAAATGTACTTGTCACTCATGTCATATCTACTACTTATAGTCAACGCCTTTCGTTGAACTTGGCATTATCCGTACTTTCGAGTTTATGACTTCTCTGAGACGTATGAGCGTTTTGGTAAAACGCTTAGGGAGCAAGACAATCGAAGTCTATGTCAAAGGCGCTCCAGAAGTCATGCGAGATATTTGCAGAAGGGACACATGTATGTTTACGTATTTCCAATAGACAGCTGTTATGATTAACATTAAACTCAATGTCCCCATTATATCTTTAGTACCTGAAGATTATGATAGCCAGCTCTACTATTATACACATCATGGTTTTCGTGTGATAGCATGCGCCGGTAAAAGCTTTGACAACTTCAACTGGATGAAAGCACAGAAAGTTAAAAGGTAATTATCATAACACGAGCCGATGCCAGCACGATCAGAATACTCTAATGGCAGATTATATTTATAATAAAAGGGAACAGGTCGAGCAGGAGCTCCAGTTTTTAGGATTTATCATATTCGAAAATAAATTAAAACCTGAAACCACGCCTGTTATTGAGACTCTGCGAAACGCGAGAATTCGTCAGATTATGTGTACGGGTAAATATATCAATACGTTGTAGAAGTTTTCAGTTACTTGTCTTCATTCACACTAATCGTGCGTATGCGCTTGTCGTAGGCGACAACGTGCTGACTGCCATAAGCGTCTCGCGCGAATGTAAGCTTATTGACAAGAATGTGCGCGTATATGTGCCTAAATTTGTCCAAGGCTCCGCTTTGGTACCAGAGTCAACGATTGTATGGGAAAGTTTGGAGAACCCTGAAGACACATTAGACACGAGAAATCTTCAGGTGAGGATTCTAATGTACATTGCTTCATAACACATAATACATCTAATTATGAACTGGTTTCGATAGATGAGACCTAGCGAACGACCATCGATTCGAGACAGTCCCTTTGCATATCCTTCAGCGTTTGATCCTTATAATTATAATCTTGCTATTACTGGTGACGCATTCAGATGGATGGTCGATTATGCTGCCGATGAAACATTTTTGCGCGTAAGTGATGGGATACACTGCACAATACGTGCATGCATACGATATTATATCATTATATGGCTTGCAATTTAACAACAACTTGTTAACTTCTGCAGATTTTAATCAAAGGACAGATATACGCAAGAATGTCTCCTGATGAGAAGCACGAACTGGTAGAAAAATTACAGGGAATGGGCTATTGTGTTGGCTTTTGTGGAGACGGTGCCAATGACTGTGGTGCTTTGAAGGCTGCAGACGTTGGACTATCGCTGTCAGAGGCAGAAGCATCTGTAGCGGCGCCATTTACAAGTAAAACTACAAACATTGGCTGCGTGATTGAAGTGATAAAGTAAATCAAGGTGAATTTGCTTTGCCCAATTACCGTCCAACATTCTAACACGATTATACCTGTCAATTAATAGAGAAGGTAGAGCTGCCCTCGTGACGAATTTTAGCTGCTTTAAATACATGGCTCTTTACAGCATCATACAGTTCACGACTGTCAGCTTGCTATATATATTTTCGTCTACTCTTGGCGACTTTCAGGTATGACAATTGTTTAGGATTGCCGCATCAATATTTTCTTATCTGACTTTCCTCCTCCTCCTCCCCCCCCTAGTTTCTATATATAGATCTCCTGATTATCCTACCAATAGCTGTTTTAAGTACGTCATTTCATACCTTTTATTGTCGTATTGCAAGCCTTCTCTACATGATTCTTGTCATCCTGTTTAGTGGGCCGTACCGAACCATATCCACAAATCCATCTTAAGCGTCCAACCGCAGATCTAGTATCAAAAAAGGTCATGACATCTCTTCTTGGACAAATTTTGATACAATCTGGGTTCCAATTTTACGTCTATTTTCTTGTTAGACGACAACCATGGTGAGTGATGTATTGTTTTCATCAGCCAGATTATTGTTAGACGAATTTGGTCACACAAAGTTGTATCAACTCTTAGGTATACTCCTCCAGACATTGACCCTGACGAAGACAATATAATGTGTTGGGAGAACACAGCATTGTTTTTGGTATCCTGTTTCCAGTATATTCTGATTGCAGTTGTGTTTAGTGTGGGTCCTCCATACAGGAAATCGATGAATACAAACGGTATTTATTCTCATAATCTAATGTCAAATGTCGAGATGCATGTATATATTATCAACGACTAATGATTGATTATTTTTTTACTGACACATTAAGCGCCCTTTATCTTAAGCGTAATCATCCTTACACTCATGTCAACTGCCCTCCTTCTCTATCCCACCGATATTACACTTGCTATTCTCGAGCTGATGATCCTCCCAGTATCGTTTAGATGGGTTTTATTAGTGATAATTGTTACTAACTTTCTAGTATCATGGTGTGCGGAGAAGTACCTGTTTGGTTATATAACTCGATGGGTAAGTTATTTTATCGACGGAAGGCGGCATCGCAGTAGAAGATATCATAAAAAACTGTATAAAAGGTTGGAAAATGACATGGAAATGCGATGACAGTGGCGGGCTGTAATAAAGAACACTTTCATGAAATATCTTGCGTCTTAGCCTTGATTAATTTTGAGGGATCCAAGTTAACGAATTAATGTGCGCCAGAAATTTTAGCTTGAAATGTCAAGCTTCTCGCTTCTCGTAATGTTTAAAGATAATGATGTCGCGATGATGCAATTTGCACAAACCGTATTTATTTATTATCATATCTTAATGTACACGTGACTCTACGAATTGGAACCCGAACTATTATTTATGCATTCCTAAACGGACCAAGTAACTTTTTACAAGGAAAAGGTTTCTTTTACTCAAAGGATGCGGGACGCCACTGATAATCAAATGCAAGTTATAAATACTATATTCGAATTTTCACAATGTCATTATAGTTAGACCAGTTACTGTAAATTAATAAAGGTTATCAATTCTTAGTAACGATTAATAAAGTGCCAGTCTTCGTTGTTTTAATTCGTCACGTTCATTAGTATTAGTTATTATAACTAATTTATCAAATTTCGCGTCATCGAAAACTATTATAAATAGATTTGCCAGGCGTTCTCTGGAAATTCCCGACGACGTAATGGAAGACTATATACTACAAAGATGCAAGCATTTCGTATTTAAAGCGACTGATCCTATATATATCAAAGCTCCCCGTCTTGCTGATTAGATTATTCTACTTAAGAAAGCCAGATCCACTTAAATCAGTTCTCCCCACCTGATTATCCTCTCTCCCATATATTTGTCACCGGAATGTAACACCATCGAGAAGCGGACTTTGAATATTAGTCTGGAAACAAACGCTGATTCCTCCGGCCAAGTCGACTACGAATCTCAATGAAATTGACGCTTTTGATATCCGTATGGCATTAAAATAATAATTGCTCAAGATGTGATTTATTTAGTCTGTAGCACCCTAAAAGCCTCTTCTATTTTGTATGGCACTAGCATTAGCGCAAATCGTAAATAGGAACCATGTTTCCGACCTTATAGTATTCCATACTTTCACGTGCGTAGCACCACATACTGCGCGTTCACGTCATATCAAAGAACATCGTAGAACCCACTAGAACCTCCCACCGTCAAACAAACCTTTGTTATTAAGTAAACAAATATATATAGGAACCCGAATGTCAGTAGACGATCAAATACGTCCACAAAAGCTGAAATAAAGTCAAAGGCATTATAATAACTGCCGCAGTACCGAATCTCGTCTTCCTTTGTCCGTGTCAAGATTGAATATGTCTGTAGTAGGTTGGTATTGTGGGGCGGGTGAAACGAACGACGGCGCTGCTCTGCTGACAATGATTACTTCACTTTCCTAGGATTTGACTTTGGTAATTTGCAGTCCGTTATCGCTGTTGCTCGTAACCGTGGTATCGATGTTGTCTGTAATGAGGTGACAAATAGAGCTACACCGTAAGTAAAAGTTTTTCGAATGACATTCTGATTGAAACTTTGCTGACCATTCATCGGGTGTTGGAATATAGGTCTTTAGTCTCGTTTGGCCCAAAACAAAGATATATAGGAGAAGCTGCGAAGACGCAGGAAATATCAAATTTTAAGAATACAGTTGGTTCGCTAAAGCGTCTTGTTGGTCGTGCATTTCAAGACAGGGAGATTCAAGAAATCGAAAAGCAGTATATCAATGCTGAACTAGTAGATGCTAACGGACAAGTAGGCGTGAAGGTAAATTTGGGCACTATGATTAGCGCAGGTGAATTACTGATTGATTTATTACACCCGATTTACTTATATATGTATTATAGGTGAAATATCTCGGCGAGGATCATGTTTTCAGTGCGACTCAATTGGTCGCCATGTATATCAACAAACTGAAGGAAACTGCATCAAGAGAGCTCAGAATACCTGTTTCCGACGTTGTTATCTCTGTCCCGGACTATTTCACTGACATTCAGCGCAGGGCTATTCTAGAGGCTGCTGAAATCTGTGGTCTGAACTGCCTTCGCTTGTTAAATGACACTACTGCATCCGCATTAGGTTACGGAATCACAAGAGACTTGCCTGAAAGTAAACCTCGTCATGTTGTGTTTGTCGATATCGGTCATTCCGATTATAGCGTTGCGGTTGTGTCATTTATAAAAGGACAGCTGACAGTGAAGGCCACCGCATATGACAGGCATTTCGGTGGAAGAAACTTCGATAATATTTTAGTTGATCACTTTGCTGAACAGTTCAAGGAAAAGTATAAGATTGATGTCAAATCGAATCCGAAAGCTCTTTTTCGTCTGAGAACTGCTTGTGAAAAATTAAAGAAGGTGTTATCGGCTAACCCACAGGCGCCTTTAAATGTAGAGTCCATTATGAATGATGTGGACGTTAGTTCCTTCATAACACGACAAGAATTCGAAGATATGATTGGGTCTTTTCTTGATCGTGTAGAGACGCCATTAGCGCAGGCGCTGAAGGATTCTGGTTTAACTAAGGCTGATATTCATTCTATTGAGCTCGTGGGGGGGTCTACACGTATCCCCGCAGTTAAGGAAAGAATCTCCAACTTCTTTGGAAAAGATCTCAATTTTACCCTTAATCAGGATGAAGCTATTGCTCGTGGGTGTGCTCTTCAGTGTGCAATACTATCGCCCGTTTTCAAGGTCAGAGAATTCACTGTGCAGGACATCACAGCATATCCTATAAAAGTACGCTGGGAGAAAATTCCCGAAATACCGGAAGAAGAGTCGGAGTTATTGGTATTCCCTAAGTCCAATGCCATACCGTCAACTAAAGTACTTACTTTTCACCGTAAGCAACCTTTTGATATCGAGGCCATTTATGCCGAACCCGAATCGTTGCCAGGAGATATCAAGCCATGGATTGGTAGATTTTCGATCAAGAAAGTCGAATCAACCGCCAACAAACTTCTGACTATGGTGAAAGTCAAAGTTAAACTCAATTTACATGGTATTCTGTCGGTTGATGGTGCTTATGTGGTAGAAGAGGTGATTAAAGATGAGAAGGAAGAGGCTAAACCTGAGCAGAAGACTGAAAAGAAATCTGAGACTAAACCAGAGACAAAATCAGAAAATAATTCCGAAGCAAAACCTGAAACGCCATCCGATACAACGAATTCACAGCAGCCGGAACAGAAAACAGAGCCGCAAGCTGGAGAAACTCCAGGGGGAAGTACTACAGAGCCTAAACAAGACGAACCACAACCCATGGACACTGACAAGCCGGAAGAGCCCGTTAAACCCAAGAAGAAGAAGCTCGTAAAGAAGAATGACCTTCCTGTTGTCTCTTGCACTGCTGGATTGGATAAAAAGGCGATTAGTCAATATAGAGAGTTAGAGGGCCAGATGCTCGCTTCTGATAAACTGGTGATAGATACGGAAACACAAAAGAATGCTCTCGAAGAATATGTGTACGATATCCGAGGGAAAGTAGAGTCTAGCTATTCGAGTTTTGTTGACCCTGCTGATAAAGAGAAATTCATCAATCTCCTTAACGAAACGGAGGATTGGCTATATGATGAAGGCGAAGATTCTACAAAATCTGTATATGTACAAAAATTAGAAGACTTGAAAAAATATGGGTCGCCTATTGTGGAGAGATACCGTGAGTCCGAAGAACGACCAAAGGCAGAGAAGCAGTTACGTGATACGATAGAGACATATCTTGTCAGTGCTACAAATACGGATGACAAGCTTGCACATATTCCTGAAGACGAGAAGAAGAAAGTCGTAGACAAGGCTACACAAGCTTTGCAATGGTTGGATGAAAAGATTGCGTTACAGAATAACACGCCTGCATATAAAACACCCGTTGTGTATGCGCGGGATATCTACAAAGAACGCGATGTAAGTATCCATAATAGCATTGCTTATTTAGATTAGATTTAATTACTTTCCAGCGATTTACAATAACCTCCATTTTTTTACAGAGTTTAAGTCAATTTGCCAATCCAATTCTGAACAAACCGAAGGTGAGCCTCACACCAGAGTTTTTTTACTGAATCATACCGAGGGCTAATATTTGTGTACTTTATTTTTAGCCGGCTCCGCCTAAAACAGAGACTGCAACTCCACCTGAAACACCGGCGGAAAATGGAAATAAGGAAAGCACGGAAAAGACTGACAAACCCGATAACAACGATCAAAAGGAAAAGACAACGGAGACGAATCAGCAAGAAAATGAACCTGCTCAAATGGAAGTAGATTAATTCTAGAGAATTTGTTCTTATTAAGTTTTTATGTGTAATGGACACTATGAAAGTACGCGCCACACAAAATAATACAACACGCCACATATTGGGAGATGCATATGTCACATGTCTGATGATTACGTATGTAATGTTTGTAGATAATCACTTATTATGTAACATTCACTTTGGCGTAGACATTATAAAAGGCGTAACAATGCAATAATTAAAGGCTGTTTTTTTTTGCATCCTGTCAGTTTAACAAATCAAAGACATGTTTAAGAAATGTATACAGCTTTGTTGCAAAAATGCTCACAGTTATGGCTTGTTTAAATTTTATGTTTATCGTCTGCACTCGCAACGACGTTACCATTTCAATCGAAACCATCACAATCACATCTTTAATAGTGTAAAAGGTTGTTAATTCTGAAGATCCATTGCTACGTAATAGTGAATATATTTACGTGTTGTCGTTCACTCAATCTTTAGAATCCTTTATTTATCATAAGTGTTTGTTTCGTACAAAGGTGTTCCGCTAAGTAAAGTTACGCTATCGGCTATAGTGGGGTTGATGAAAACAAATGAGGAAGAACGGAAAAGTGAAAAGGAATCTCAAGAGGACAATAGAAACGTTGAGAATGATCAACGAAACGTTGAAACAGATCGAGGGCATCTATCATCACAATTTCAGTCAACGGAGCCATCTCGATCTGCGTCCACTCAAGTCGAAAAAACGACCACAACGACAATAAATCTTCCTTACAGTTCTTATCTTCTCAACGTTGCTCAAACTGCAGTAATTGATACTAACACTAGCTCTAGGGTGACCCGCACTTATACCTTTGTTCTTTCTGACGGGAACATTAAAACATTCTCTGTCAGCACTCCTCCCCTCCCAACTTTAGAAACAACACAGTTAACAGAGAAGTTCGAAGAATGGAAACAAAAACTCTACGCGAGTGACTCCACGTCTGACAAACGTGTGGTCGTGAGCGAGAAAGAAGAGAAACCGTCTTTTTTTGCCTCACTTCCAAAGATTCCTGTTGATATCGGATTTGAAAGTTTGAACGAAAAGTTGGATGATATTTGGAAAAAGGTTAAGACGATACCAGTGCCATCAATAGATGGCGTGCAGGAGACTGTGACGAGGGTATACAAAGAAATTAAATTTGAGGAAGGCAGTATAGCGGATGAAATTAGAAAAAATGCACAAAATTGCAGCTTGCATCCCGAGTTAGAGTGGGATGCGAGAGTGAGGTGAGGATGCAGCATGGAAGATCTCCTAGCGGTTGTCTTGGATGGTAACTCTAAGATGATCAACTCTTGAAAATGTCTCATTTCATATAGGCTAGGCGATAGTCTATCATCAAATGAAATCGAATTTATCAAAAGGCGTAAAGCTCGCATCAAAAAGGCGTTTGCTCAGTTTATTCAAGTTGACGAGAACGAGATACATGAGGATGATTTGCCAATAATAGGCATTGCCAGTAGTGGCGGAGGGTATCGTGCAATGATTTCTACAGCAGGTGTGTTGCGCAGAAAAGTGTTCGATGGATGTTAGTCATTTATTAAATATTGCCTCTATTAGGTTATATGGCGAGAGCTAAAGAGTCGGGCGTGTTGGACTGTACCATGTTCTTTGCAGGGAAGTCATCAAATATAAACCCATCCTGAAAAAGAAAAACCAGTAAACATACGTATTGATTTTGAAATATGAAATTGTATTTTTAGGCGTCTCTGGCAGTTGCTGGGCTTTAGCGGAATGCAAGTGATCAAGACTTTCTTTATAGCTTCCTACTATGTCTACGTACTTTACAAAGTATTCTCACTGAAATATTTACTTTTTTTTTTTCAAGACTTCACTCTTGCGCGTTGCTCACTTCCAAATCTCCTGACACACTTGAAATCAAGGCTCAATGTTCACCCACTTCATATTCCGTCGTTCGCTGACGTTATTTTTCACAAATGCGCTAGAGAGATTATCCTTGCCGGATTGATCATAAAGCACATTGATGGTTCTCCAATGAATTTAGTAGATGTGTTTGGGACTTTTCTATCATCTAGATTGTTGATCCCGGAAGATGTGGAGAGGGTCAATGAGAGATGGTATAAATTAAGCGAGCAGAAAAAGATGGTGGAGGATGGTAGCGCTCCATTACCAATTTATACGGTGGTTAGGCATGAGATCAAAGAAGAAACTGAAGAAGGGAATAAGGATCGACCGGAGGGAGGGGAAAACGAGAAAGAAAAGGTCAAGTTGAATTATGAAGAAGAGAAGAAAGTGACTAATACTGAAGTGAACAGGAAGGGAGATTCTGATGACGATAATACAGAGGATGAATTCCAATGGTTTGAATTTACGCCCTATGAAATTGGATGTGAAGATATTGGAGGTGGGTTCGTTTAACTAAGCTCGGTTGATTGATTTGATATACCAATACTAATAGTTATTTATGCGATCATTTAGCGTGGATACCCACTTGGGCGTTTGGTAGACGATTTGAAGGTGGTGTGAATGTCGAACGAAAACCAGAACACAACTTGGGACTGCTAATAGGGTACTGTCATATTACAGTCGAAAATCACCATGCTACGTATCATAATTTTGAGACTAGGCTAACATGATTTCTCATTTAATATTAACAGTGTCTTTGGAAGCGCGTTTTGTGCTACACTTGCTCATTATTACAATGAAATCCGGGCCTGCCTGCCCGGTGGTTTTCTCACAGACACATTGGATAAGATGGTTAAAGAGGTAATACCTGGCCATGCCGCTATGCTATGACAGTAGGAATTTCCTATTTCATATGCGATAGACTGTTTTTTTCCTCGATAATCCAGTACGAGAAAAACATCTCGACCATTCATCCAATATCACCTGCATGTTTCCCAAACTTTGTATACAAAATGACCGAATTGCCGCCGGCAGTGTCGTCTATTGCAGAGAAAAAGAATATATGTCTTATGGTAATGTGCTAATGACTATTATAATAACACGCGTGCGTAGACGTTTATGTGCATCAACATTGCTTTCACAGGACTCTGGAGTCGACAACAATATTCCATTCTATCCTTTATTACGCAAAGGTCGCGACGTTGATGTTATAATTGCTATCGACAGCAGTAACGACTTGCAGACACATCCTTACTTTGAGAGAGCTGCAGGTGAGTTAACCACGATTGGTCTCCTGTTTAATGACCAAACAAGAAAAAGAACAATAGAGAAATAGACTTTGCTTTTGCGAAAAATCATAAATTAAAAATCTATTGACCGAGGATTGTCTAGGTTATGCTAAGAAACACGGAATAACGGGATGGCCAGTAGGTTGTGGCTGGCCCAAATCGCCTGAACAACGAAACACTACCGAATCTGCTGTTGAATCCTCTTTCGACAATAACGATACAGCGCAGGAATCCTCGTCTCTCACACATGACATTGACTCGGCCCTGAAATCTGATTGTCCAACTGAAACTTCTTCATCACCTTCACCAAACGGTCTTGGCCCTTGTACAGTATTCGTCGGTTCAGAATCTTCTTCTCCACCTCCTTCTAATCGTCCAATAACCATAATTTATTTCCCTCTCATTCCTAATCCCAAAGTCGGCGATGGATTTGACCCATCGGTTGAGGAATTTTGCTCGACATGGAACTTTGCATATGAGGCGAAACAGGTTGAGCTGTTGGCCGAGTTAGGAAAGCAGAATTTCAGAGAGGGTGAAGAAGAGATTAGGAAAGTTTTTAGGCGGGTATGGGAGAGGAAGAGAGATGAAAGATTGAAAAGGGGTCAGTAATGTAATGCCGAGTATGAACATCAGATGAGAATTTATTTGAAGAAGATAAAAATGTGCGCTTACGGTTCAGTCGATTACAAAATATAAGAAAGTCGTCGAGTCGGACCAAAAGCTCTATAATAACGAGCAATTGGTGTAAGAAAGTTCTATATATCAATAAAAAAGCTTCTAGATAGTAAAAAGACTTTGTCATTGTGTAATACATATGCACAAGCTTTAGTTATTTGGATAATATGGAAATAGCCCTCCAGAACAACTTGTTTTCTGTTTGTAGTATCCATTAAAAGGAATATTTTCTTCATCGCCACAGTTTTCGTTCATCACTAAGTTTACAACCTTTTCACATGCGGAAAGTCGATCAGATAAGGTTATTCAGCCAACTATTGCGAATTGTTTCACTTATTTCACAAAAGCTAGTCTTTATTATGCATATATAGGTTCAAGTCCCAAAGTCAGGCCAAACCTGACCCTCTGTTAAATATTTGAGCAAGATATTCGTGGCGCCGTTCACGTCTCACCTTGCACGAACCACATTTGATCTTTTTTTACGAATCCACAATTTCCACACGTCTTTGATGTATACTCTTCCGTGCATTCAATGATCTTGCAACCTTGACTTGTGATGTAAGAACATCCGAAACCTGCAATGCGACCAAGTCAGCATCGCGCGAGCTGTCTTCGATCGAATTCATAGTTATGTTAACCGTATTATTGATACCTGGCGATCGCTCCGAGGCGATAATACTCTTTAGAAACGCGTATTTCCCTTTGTTCCTATTCCAATCCCTCGCAAGGATCGAAATGTTTTGTGTTCGATCGATACTTCATTCGAAAATTATTTCCATGCAACATACTGTTTGTTTTGTATGTTCCATCAATTGTCGAATCGCGTACGAACGTACTTCCCTAGGGGTCTCTTTAACTCAGAGGAGTTCTTCAGTTGTGAAGCACTCATCATTTAGACCCACTTTCTTAACCTTTCCCTTTCTTCGGGCGTTGGGTAAAGCCGTATCTTTCGTGTTTTTAATTTGTCATTTTCGATTTTCAGCTGATCCGAGTCCGATATGCCTAGCGGTGAAGATAGTAACGATTGATAATAGGTTTTCGGCAAACTTACCGGATTCAGGGTCATTATGGTTGACGTCCGAACTGAGTTCCACGATCTTAGTACTGTTCTTGCCAAGAACCCATTCGTCCGCAAATCTGCAGAGCCGCTCCTGCCTCAACAAGCAGTTCCTGGTATTATCAAGAAAAGTAGCAAAGATATTATGCTGAAGGGTGATGGGCCACAGCTGTGTCGCAAAAGCAAAAAAAAAAGTCATTCTAGACAAAGTTGCAGCTATACTTGCAATTTTTAACTCGCATAGTGACAAATGTTCAACTTTGGTTTTGTTGTAGCATATCAAAACTTTTTAAATGGAAATAGTCATGTTAGTAGTAGCAGACAAGTGGCCATATTCACCACATGGACAGGCTATCTGGAGACCACCCAAAAGGCTCAAACTAAGAAACATTCCTCAAATTTTAAAACCAAATTACAGATTATATATACATTCCATTAAAATTCTGATCGTTAACTAAATAGAATCCCAACATTATTAATGGAGAGATCTTTCAGTTGAGCAATACGCCATACTAATATTGATATTCTCATTACAGAGAAGACTTGCGGTGTTACAATTCATCTGGTAAAAATGCTGCCTGTGTGTAACAGAACAATGATTTGCTATTACTATTACTATTACTATGCTTACTTAACTTACTTAACGCTAACCAAATTTTGGGAAGAAACACAAAACAAAGATTGCGCACAAGATTACCCAAGCAGCTGTTGACACATAATATAATAAAGAAATAAAGAAAGTGACAGTCGCGCAGCCCCGAATTTTCGCGAACTTTCATATAATCACGTGAATGAATAAGTCATTTTCCAATCGAATTGCAGTGATTGAGGCTAAAAACAGACACGGGAACCCCATACGCTGAGGCTCTTGTCTCTCTCTCTCTATTCACAAAAACAAAGCCGGAAATCCTTCACGAAGAAACCCTCTTTCCCTCACTTCATTCATTTTCCTTTTCTTGAAATAGTACAAAATGTCATACTTTGAAACCAGTACTAGTAGTGTTCCTTCCGAAGCTATGAAAGATTATAGCAATGTTTCTAGTAACGTTCGAGCGCACTTGGCAAAGGTTTATGGCACACTTGCTCTGACTTGCTTAACCGCCGCTGCGGGTGCCTACCTCCATGTTAATGATATGGTCATATATGGAGTGAGTGACTGTTTGAATTCATAAGCGAAAGTGAGCTTAACCGTACCAGTAAAAGCAACAGTGACTAATTTCATATTGGCATGGTTTATTAGGGTGGGCTGTTGTCTTTCCTAGTGGGTCTCGGATGTCTGATTGGTATACTGAGTCTAAGTCCCACGCCCGAGAATAATAACGTGCGATTTGGGTTGCTTTGGGTGAGTGCTCGTCGTCAAATATTATCAGCTTTGTCAAGGGATTTGCCAAGCCATATTTACAATATGTCTGATGTTAGGTATTCGCCTTTATGGAAGGTTTATCTCTTGGACCACTCCTCAAAATTGCCTTTGCAATTAATGGATCGTACGTACCACATTTTTTTTACTGGTCTATATTGATGGAACTGTTGCTAACTTGTTCGTCTTGGAAGTGGTGAAATGGTTTATTTTGCCGCTCTCTGTACAGCGGGAATCTTTGCCGCATTCACTTTGAGTGCCGTACTATGTGAAAGACGGAGCTATTTGTACCTTGGAGGTCTCCTTGGATCGGTACTGAATTTGTTATTGTGGTCACAAGTATTCAACATGTTCTTTAGATCCAAGCTCTTGTGGAGCATAGAACTATACACTGGATTGTTTATGTTTTGTGGATACAGTAAGTAGACATTTGGTGGTTTCACTTCTGGAATCTGCCTCCGTTTTACACAATGATGCTTAAATCTCGTTTATTCTATATAGTCTTGTATGATACTCAAGCTATAATTTATCGTGCGGCATGCGGATATACTGACGTTGTCGGACACACCGTGGATCTGTTTATTGATCTGGTCGGAGTCTTTGTTAGAATTCTCGTCATTCTTATGCAGAAAGAGGAGGATAACAAGGATCGTAAAAGAAAGGAAAAGCGTCAAAATAATTATGCGGCATTTTAAAGTTCTCTTCTTTTGTGAGAGGAATAGCCGAATTTGGAGCATTATTTTATTAACCTCTAGTTAAAGACTAATCGGCTGGAGTAATCGGTTATCGTCATATTCATATTGAGTATTATGCTTCTAAAGACGTTTTCTTGTATACTGCTTTACTATTCGCACTCAATAAATAATTAAGCTAATACAGATTACAGGTTATTTAGAATTTTAACATAATTCGATTAAAGATTCACTGACACAAACATAATTAGAACAAATTGCTTTGTCTGCGATTTGACCTGTCGTGTTACTGTGTATTATCCAATGGCCGAAAAATTCTGCATGTGTTGTTTACATTACAGTCTTTGTCTACAGTTCCGCTATCGAATCCCTATTACTCATAACAGTCACAATTTCATCTGCTGTCCGATCTAATATCCAGATTCGACATCTGTAATCCATTCTTTGATGTTATTAAATTCATCCTTATCAACAGAGCAGCCTACAATCTCTACTTTATTTACTAAATGTTCAAATTTGAATTTCTCGTTTTCGTAACCAAGGAACTCTATTTCGTCTCCAGAATCCCTATGATCTAATGATGCCGTACGTGTAATTCGTAATTGATCACTATACAAAAACGATTTAACAGCATCAGTATGATAACACATCAGCTTGACTGTAATCCGATATTCGCACTCACATTTCATCCTCGAGTAACACCTGAATCTTCTCATGAGGCAATGATGTTAAGAGATCCTTCTTGTTACAAGCGATCAATACCGGGATCTTTCTTTTTATCACGTGTTTATTTGCCAAAATATCGTAAAGATATCTGAGAAAGAAAACAGATTTAGTATCAATTCCACGTGATTACATGATGTTCCCGGACGAATTCTTACTCGGCAACCGGCCTGACGCTTCTCCCAATTGTAGCGCTGTCTATCAAAAATACAACACCTCGGGCAATTGGAATGAATTCAGTAAATTTGAATCTCAGCTTTTCATGACCTGGTATATCGACTATATGAACCGGTGTCTTGAGTAGCGGTTCCGTCTTGGAAGGAAATAGACAGATAATTAGCAAACAACAAAGATCGAAAGACCGAATCATGATATTTTATATCACACGGAACTGGTTATGACATTAATTACTTCGTCAATTAGCGTAATAAACAGTCTGACGTAAGCTTCATTTTCTTTCATCGATGTATGCGTCTCAACTGCTTGGTCATATCGTAACTGAAACAAATGAGATACTAGTCTTGAATAGCTCAAAAAATAAAGAAAACGCTTCCTGAGAACTCAGTTACTTTTGCATATAATGCAGTCTTCCCCGAACCCGATAAACCTAAGAATAGATAAGTATTGTATGCACTCTTCTTTTTGTACAGTTGTTGTATGGCTAATTTTAAACGTTTAACAGTTGTCAGATACCAACATAAAATATCAAATGTATCATGTTCAAACAGCATAACGTTACATACCTATAGCTAGTATGACAGCCACAACTGCAAATAAGGCGACCGTGAATAAAATATTATCATACATTAAATGATTCATGTGTGAGTAATGTGAGCAGAAAGATAGGTAATGGCTCTGAGTTCTGATCAGCATTCTGATTGGCATCGGCAACCAATCACTATTCTTGACACGAAAAACATTCACTTTCTTATTTTACGCACAGGTTTGATAAACCAACAAAATCGAAAAAACCCTACTGCATATACAGTATTAACATATTGTATCTCAATAAACTTCATTATATAATTGGTACAAATATACATATTCATGCGGTGACTGCGCGAACTGTATACAACGCAACATTTCCCTAAGGTTGTTGCGTGAACCGAAGCAAGTTAACAAATCGCTTGGTCCTATTAATGTGATGGATATATGACCAGTAATATTATTACAGAATTTTGTCATCAAAATTAAGACCGAGACGGGAATGTTGTCATTAAATAACGATGTTTGTAAAGTAATTCTAGTCAACACTAACTTTTCTCTCGCTCATCAAGGCAGCGTTATGCATCCTTCACTAATATAGCCACCAGTTTCATCGACTCCCGTCATTCGAGCGATGTGTATTGTTTCTATTCGACAAGTTCCCAATTCCAGATTTTTAAATTTCTCCAATATTGGTACGGCTGAAAAAGGCTGTGCGCGCGGCGATCTAGAATATCTCGCACTGTTGTTGTTGTTGTTGTTGTTGTTGTTGTTGTTGTTGTTGTTGTTGTTGTTGTTGTTGTTGTTGTTGTTGTTCTTACGGTATTTAGTGTTCATAATCGTTGCATGAAACTGACCACATAAATTACAAAATAAAGAGTTAGTCAGTTTATGGTAACATACACTACTCGAGCTGAATACTGCTAAGATTAAGTGAACCGACCTTTAATGGTCTATTATCTGGTTTCAGATACCCTGCCTTTTTGAATCTGTCGTTTAGAAGATCTAGAAAATGCACTTAGATTAACTAGGGACATTTTCGCTAATACATGGTGTCCGTCGCGACCTTCAAGCAACTTCTTGTCTATTTTAAAAAAAAAAACACAAGAAATCCTCTTGATTCTAGGCTATTCAAACGCCCATACTCGTTCACCTTAAAACTAACCTGCTACTTTCTTCAAACTATCCAGAGTTTCTCCTTCCTCAATCTTTGCATAAAGAATATGGGCCTGTAACGGATTACTCTCCATCACTTCTAATCCTACCAGTTTTGCAACAGTCGCCCTCGTTCCGACCAAATCATAAATCTCTGGGGACAGCTCTTTTAGCAGCTTCACAGCTCCTTCGACATCATCCTTTGTATACAAGTTCAGTACACCGACAGTAAAATGAAATTTTTCGGGACGAAGGAAAAGTGAATCATCAACATTAGGGAGGTTGAGGGCTAGGATGTCAGTATGTAACGTGCTAACTTTTCGCTTAACGTTTGGGTCCTTAAGAGGAAGCGAAATGAAGTGAGTCGGACGCAGTCGAGGCATGGACTGAAATCGATATCGTGGGGAGGAGTCGAGAAGAAATTAGCAGAGTGACAACAAAATCGTGAAATAATAAGATAGTTGATTAGTTACTCACATCCGTTATTAACTTTCTGATTTTGGTGATTGCCAATTCCACCGCGTCTGAGGAACCTTCGATAACTGAGCATGAAAGAACAGAAAGGTTCAATCAAAGTTATTTTCGGATTTCTCATATCTTTGAAATGTGTAATTACCAACATTATGTCCAACTTGAATCTTTGTCTTTGTCTCCAATTGAAGCTGTTTTACAGTTGCTCCATTTTGACCTAATAGAATAGATAATGCTCATATTAGCTTGATGGGTCTACTTAGTCTGTTCAGGTTGATGGCGTTCACTTTCTACCTATAATAATGCCCTTCAATGAGTTTACATTCGTTATTTCCATCGTATGTTTGATTTGCTCAGACAATTTATTTTCGTTTGAACTTCCACTTTTAGAAACATCGGTAGAGATGCCAACCGATGGTTTTTCAGTCATTACTGCAGTATTATCTTTTGTAATGTTTTAGAATATTGTATGGAAACTGTTAATTTCCCAATTTATTAGTGCCAGTGATGACAAGATTGGAAGATAAATGCATTACCCGAAGTCGTTGTGCAGTTGTAGTCTTTGGGTAGTGTACTCGTTGGAATACGAAACGTGCGGTTTTGAACTTTAATAAGAGTTATACCTTGCATGCACGGGGGAGCCGATGATGTAATGTTGGATCCTTTCAAGTTGTCCATTTGAGATGAATGATTCAAGACGATAATTGTTACTTTTAAATCGTTGCACAAAATAAATAATTTTCATTTACTCAATGTTTTAAACGCAGGCCCCAATTGTACTTTGAGCATTTCAAATTTATTGTGTTGTTCACGTTCGGTTATTGTCTTTGCTGACAAAGACAAGACGTTTGCCAGAAGTTAGCAGCTTTGAATTCTTGACAATGGATACCAAACAGTTCGGCTCACACGATCCATTGTGTAACCGAATCGTGTTGGATTGGGAACACAAGTCAAAAACCTCTTGCGAAATCAGCGAAGTGTTACCGTTACTTTTGAAGATATCCAGTTACAATTGCTGCCGCGTGTTTTTATATATCCGAAAATATTCTGGCAGCCATACTAATACTATCTACGTAAGACTTTCACACCTTAACGAAACGTCGATTTGGAATGAAAGCTTTTACAACGTCACAACCTCCCAGAGCAGAAATACTTTTGTCTTCATTCATTGACTATGTTGCTAATATACACAGGAGAATGATCGTATATTAATCCTGGATTTATTTGGCCTTAGCAATTAGTAAACTTTTACGGCCCCGTTCCTAAATTACTATCTACCTCGAATTTTACGTCTACTTCTTCGACATGGTTGGTTTTAAAAGCCTGTAAGCAAGAAAAGTTTTTTAACTAAACGCGTTTGTATGGAAGTAAAATAATAGCCTGAGTATGATCTCATTCGGAAAGGTGTTTTGCACTTTCACGGCGGTAGAAAATCTTCATCGTAGAATAATCGAAAGAACTTTATAATCCAACACATACGGTTTTAAATTATTCTAAACAAGGAATATTATCGAAACAAAAGAACAGTGATTTCACATACCTAGTAAATACTGAACCGAAGACCTGTACTTGTTTGCTCACCTGGTTTCCAGCAGATCGCAGCGCTTTTTTGGGGAGGCATTCATTTCCGCCGGCAATCATTTCGCCGGCAATCACTTTACGACAAAATTATTTCGAAGTTATCTTTTTTGGTAGTTGTTGTCGGTGAAATGTACCTGTCAGTGAAATAATTGTCAGAAAAAATGAACCGTACCCTTTTTTTCCATGTTAGATAAATCACCAAGTTCGTTTGTTTTGAAAATTCATTCGTTTTTTGTCAATTTCCCATTTAAGTCTCTTAATCTGAAACGAATAAACTGTTTGCTTATATCGTTATTTTGCTGCAAGTAATTTTGGATGCTTCTAAAACCTCGTTTGTGCTGTCATCTTCTCTTTCATTTTTAAAAAGTTTTTGGATCGGATATGTAAATATAATTGCCTTGAGACGTTGCGTTATACAATACTACCTTGATACAACCTTTTTTTTTTTATTTCTAAGAACCATAAAAGAAGAAGCATGACAGAATTGCAAGTCCGTTAGGCCTTCAGTCAGTTGGTTTAGTTTCTCGTAAAGAAAATGTCATAAGTCTTTTGAAAGTGGAAAAGATTGCAAAAAATATGTAAAATATTTTGAAGGAATAGTTTAGTCTGTTTAAAAACTTTTTGAGCTCACGTATATGCAATTTTTGACAAGCCTTTCTATAAACAATCGGTAGACCTGTTGAGACTGCATATTTTATACTCCGTTTTTGTTTGAGTGCAGCATACATTCGCACATAGGTCTTTTTTCTGTAACGCGAGTTCGTTTATTTGCATCACATTGATCTTTTTGTTTATTATTTAAGCTACTAAGGCATAATAAGTTGGTATTATATTAAGTTTGTATACGAGTAGCGAAAAATGGGTGAAAAAAGCCTTATTCTTATATTAATAGTGTATAGTGGACTTTGTATGGAGATAACACAAAATCCGTTATTATTATACTAAAGTAAATGTGTTCGGAAAGTTAGTCCGATCACTGTTTTAATGTTAATATTAATATTAATACTCTCTGCCAAATCCCCCTTGGTCAAGAACCAAAGTCATGCTATAATACTTGGTAAAAATTCCGTTCCAGCAAAAAAGTCTGTATAGGGCAAAGTCCGTTATATCGACGGTCCTTTATATCGACTTTCACTGCATACTCCAAAACTTGCAGCTGGTATGGAAGCTTTCAAAAAATAGATGTACAAGTGTCTAAATCGTGAGACTGAGAGCTCTGGAAATCTTTTTCCGAGCATTGTTTGATGGAATCCGGAGAACAGGTGTTACAACTTCATCCTTCTTGTCATACGTAGTTAACGTCATTTTCTGATCAGTTTAGACGAAATAGTCAACGCCTGAAATTAGGCAGCATTATTCTGTTCGACCATATCAAACATCCATCATAGCTATTTGGTGCTTCCCTCTTTGATGAATCGAGTTGTCGAATCGGTCATAATTTGCAGTCATTAGTGATACCATAGACAAAGGTTGACCAAAGTTGGGTTGAATGACATTATTTTTGTCAATCAAAGGCGAGCTTCTAAAAATACCTTTCAATGCATAAAAATTATTAACAAAGGTTTCGGCCAATAATGCTACAAGTGTCTTAGCTAAACCCATGCATCGGGTATTTGGTCAAAAAAGGTATTGTTACTATCCGTGTACATAATGAACATTGCTGTATTTGTATAAAGAATGAAAGACTTTTATTGTCCACAGCAAATTATTTAAATGCTTAAGAACTAATACTAAGCGTCATTTAATCCATCTTCTTTCTTACAATAAATTTTGTTCTCCATCTGTCAAATCCCTTACTACTCAAAAATGAACTATCATAAACGAATATATATTCTGATATTGTGTCTTTCGGTATTCATTATGTCAGTTGCCTATGCTGTTTGTACTGTCTCGCCAGCTTGCGATTGCCCAGCCGACATTGCCTGCGCGTGTCCCTCACTTTCCGGTGCTGGTCGATTTTGTGGCTTTCAACTGAGTAAGTAGTCGAACATTATCTTTTCAGATTAAATTACAGATATCCACATAAGTAGACGTGCATCGGATACACGCAATTCCAAAACGGCAGTTTATTACTGCAGCGCACACTGTTTAAACGTCAGTTCGATTACCTAAATCATCGAAACAAAAAAAATATGCATCCCAAACCATTTTATGCCATTGTTAAAGGTGTGTCAGACATGATTGCATTCCAAAGATAGAATACATCACGGACAAAGCAAATCTCGAATTATCGAGATACGGTAACTAGCGTTCTTTATTAAGATCAAGCAATTGTCGAGAAAGACCGTTTCTTGATAACTTGTATAAAAAATCGCAACCACGAAACAGTCTCGTATACATTGGTGGATGTCTCATTACTATTTGAATACCAACTAAGACATTCATTTCAATTTAAATCTGTAGATTGTACCGGAAATCGCCTTCAAAATCTTGGTTACAGTGATATTTGGCAATGTTCAATTACTGGCAACAATTGCCGTTTCGGCTCGTGTCAAATCGGTTGCTGTGGGATAAAAGGCCAAAGCGCCTTCTGCTGCAAAGAGGCAAATTGTGCTGATTGCATCACCATTAAACAAGTTTCTTGACAAACTTTTGTTCGGTTATCAATAGTCATGTTCATTCAGCCATCATAATATACACTTAATAGAGAGAAACAGTAATGTCAACATCAAACATGTACAGTAACAATCTTCATTTGAACCAACAGTTCTCGATGCACAAAGTTGTGTATTAGCATATAGAAAATATTTGCGTCAGTAGTGCGAATAGGAGTGCCCAAGCATTTATTCACGTGTTACTGACGGGTAAAATAATAATTTGTGATTCTCCTTTTATTCCAAAAGCGCATCGATCTGGGTTCACTCTATGCGTCGAATAACGAATTGTTGGTTCTCTTTGCTGAGTTCAATTTGCAACGTCGCGTACAGACTAATATAACTACGCTATCTCGTAATCCTATCACACGACGGTTATTAAATGTTTCAGGGAAGGTATCAAACCACCTTTGTACAACGGTAATTGATTAGTTACCGTTGTACAAAAGTTCATCCTGAAAAAATGATACTCTGCATAGTAAAGATACCTTCGATCAGCGCGTATTTCATGTTCTGTGATTTATAATCAGACTGAACCACTTATCGTTTTCGCAACCAAAACATCAACTACTACCTATTGACCATCCTATTCCTGTAGATACGTTACATCACCCATGTATATCATATGGAATTTCCTTGTCCTAACACTACTATTTCACCTTCTTCGAATACCATTTCCATTCATTAATACATTCGATGTGATTGTTTTGATGTATGGAGTACGTCTACTCTATTCTCTTGCTCGCTCGACACTAGCCAGATCACTTCACGACAAACCATGCAAAGGGCTTAAAATATACTTTTCTCGAACATATCATTCTCGATTTACTCCAGTGCAGCATGCCTTTAATTATTCGCATGTAGTATTTGGAGTTGATTTGGATGAATTGGAACGGAGGCGAGGATGGAGAAAATGGTAATCATCATCATTTAGGCAGGGAGTCGTAAATAGATATATAATATGCCTTGGTAAAGTAGAATGGTAGACGACATTCGTTCTGGAGTTGTCATTATTAATTCCGTAATTTCTCTGATCTATAATAGGTTATTCGGCTACAACATCAGATTCTCTCTGTTCAGCATCCATGATAAAGACTACCTCGGAGACTTTTCTCAATCAGCAGACTTGCCTCCGCTAAAATCTATCAAACAAAAGCTATTGTGGCACTTATCAAACCACGTAAGTAAGACTGTAACTCGACCAAATAACTACACGTATAATTCACTGGATGAACGATTCCTGCATACAAACTTGTCTTCCTGCATACAAACTTGTCTTCCTTCCTGTAACACTCATAATTGCAATAGAATATTCCAACCTCTCTCATAGTACGCGTCGAACTGGTCACTATGCCAAGACTATTGAACTACGCATTCAACCCTGTTAACTTTCATTATTGCTACGACAAAGATGACATCCTACAAGTCATTGTACTGGAGGTTAATAATACCTTTGGGGAGAAGTACTTGTATGTTCTCGGACGAGAAAATAATAAACGGACTGTGAGAAAAGGGTACGTTGAAAACAATCGCGTGATTTGAATTTTTTATAGAAAAAGTTTGCTCATCCGTTATATTTCTACGAATACTCGTATCATTTTTTACTGTACACTTTCAGATACGACATGTGTTTCACAATAAAACGCGCATTCCACGTCTCACCGTTCAATGACCGCAAAGGTTATTACACTGCCTACTGTAAAGATCCTTCTGATGGCGTGCTCTCATTGTGTCTAGTAATGTATGAATCCAAATCGCCTTCTTTGACTCCTTCCACGAGTGTCTCCACTACCGCTGATCTCGGCCCATACTCCAAGAAATTTGTGGCAACTATTTCGGGTACCGCGTCTAGTCTGTCTCTCCAGTCTATGGCATACATGCTATTATGTTATCCAGTAGATATCTTCTTGACCATGCCGAGGATAATGAAAGAAGCATATAAACTGCATTATCGAAAAAATATGAAAGTATTTCATAGGCCTAAGCCTATGGAAGGAACTGTTGTTACATTAAAACCTAATTTTATTGAAAGGTAAGGGCGCGCAAGGGAGCTGACATGGTACCACCAAAAACGCTCGGCAATCAGAAAAGAAAGATATTGCAAACGGATTCGTTTTCTTTATAGTTGGTGTTCTTACAGATATTGATATCTTTTCATACTGATAATATTATCACTTAATTTAAATAGATATGCTCAAGAAGTTGTTGTAAAATATCTCACATTCTTGGTGACACTTTGTAAAGAACCAACAACCCTCATTCTTCGCCTTCCTTCACCACATTTACCTCCAATACAGATTACATCACTCGAGCAATCTGTTAGAACTGTCAACTATTCTTCTTTCACGGAACCGATAAACCAAAGTGACGACTCAGATTCAGACGCCTCATATTCATTTTCGTCTCGTTCCCCATCCCCCCTACCTCCTCAACAGTCATTATTTTTAGAAAAGAGAACTATTAACATCAAGTTACATGACTATACATTTTTTACTAACATTCTCTTTGATCAGTCTTTACATCGTGCTTTGATGTATGGTTACTTTGACAAAGCGTGGGACTGTGATGAGATTGATTTATTTCTCAGGTTTCTATTTGTTAGCTCGAATGATAACCATGATGTATTCAAATATCCTGATAGTCCAATCAACAATGAAATTAAATATCAATTGACAGAATTTGAAGAGAATGCTGCGAATATAAGGAGGCGATACATGAGTGATGTATTAGACGGTGAGCATAGAAGCGGGCAGTCTATGAAGAAAGAGTTGGATACTATGATACAGTGCCTGTGGCCAGAAGATGGGGAAGAGATGGAACATACGGCTACTATTGCGCAAGGTGGAATATGTTACCAAACAAGGATAGATGGGATAGTGAGTAAACCGCGAAATAGCCAACAGATCTTTGCGATTTGCAGGCTTAATGGGCCGCGAAAATTTTACTAATGGATCACTATATATTTTACTTGCACAGACTCACATACAGGACGACATCCATTTTACTCTTTGCGATCTCTTACATCATTCCTCGTCACCTCCTCCCTCCCCCACATTAGAGTTGAATCCCGCTTTTACTCCATCCTCATCTTTAAGACCGCTTTTCACGTTCACCGAAATTTACGTCTTTCCCTATCCTTCTCTGTCACTCCATTACTTATCCGATTCATCTCACGAACGCACTTTAAATTTGATGTCACCATACCTTACGTCCTCTTCGTATCCGATTACTTCTCCCTTCGTGCCCTATTTGACATCTTGCGTACACCTGCTACCATTCCCACCACGATACTTACCATCTGAATGGAAGGATCCCGTACCTCATGTGATAGATGGGATGCTCGCGTCCGCACCTTTAATACAACGCAAATGGCACACATGGATATTAGGATTAGGGGGGATTTTATATAAAATGGATGAATGGCTGTGGCAGAAGTTTACCAACTTTGTTGGAGGCGCTGACGGAAATCCCTACAGAGGCGAGGAATATATGTGGGAAGCGCTAATGGATATAATTAAAAGGAGTGGAGGCATAGAGAATTGGGAGGTAATCTACGAAAAGCAAGGTGAGCACATCAGCATATGGGTGGGGTGGGGATTGATTAACAAACATTTTTGTTAATGTGGTATGTACACGATTTGTAGAAAATGGGGAGTTTGCGCTAGTACCGCCAAAGCAACTTGCAATTTCTTCAATGACAATGTCTAAACCATTTAAAAAGACTATTGATGAAGAGCGCCAGCTCAGGTTATGGAAATACATGAAAGCGTTTCGCGAAGTTGTTCTGACAAACCGCGAGTTGGAGAGCAATGGATAGAAAAGGCAATATTGGTCTTTGATACTATAGAATCTTGGACATCATAGTGATAAAATAACAAATACTTTCTCAATATTTGCATACGTAAACCATATTATATGTAAAAGTACCTTGTTGGCAGCAAAGCGATGATTTGTTAATAGTTTAAAATTCCAGTACACCTCATAAATAAGTAATAGTAATAGTAAAAATCGATTGAAGATTTACCAATAAAGGAATATTTCCTAACAAATTGACACAGCAAAAGAATTAAGTGCGTATGCTGGGAATCGAACCCAGGTCTACCGCGTGGCAGGCGGTAATTATACCACTAAACCACATACGCTCTGTGTATGATCGACTGGAAATTTTATACTATCAACAAACTGCGAATTTACAGTTTTTACATAATATTTTGAATACTTTCTTTTTTCGGTCCCTGTAATAATAGCCCTATTCATTCGTTTCTGTTCCAAGTTTTTGCACCTTCTAAATTTGGGTTGAACGCACGATTGATGACACATCGTACAGAGAACATTGATCACATATTTTTTTTCCACATGACTTATTGAGATGTAGCAGAAACTTATACAGTCAGACCTCATTTGTATCCCCCCCCTATTGTATCCCAACCTCGACTATATCCCAGGTTTTCAGCTGGACAGATTTCCCTTATTGTAAATCAATA